CGACATGTTTGGAATCTGACTAGTACATGATTGTCACAGACTCAAACGCAAACAAAGATTATAGATATGATACTTATGAGGCCTGCTCGTGCTCAGAAAAGATCGGACGCGGGCCCCTCTCGACCTCGCGGCCCCTGACGACCGGGTGACGACGTGGCGGCAGTACCGGCAAGCAGGACAACAGCGTTTTTGTTTTCGTTTGGGGAACAAGGAGTGATACAGTGCGTTGCATATGTTCTTGCACCTCGCTCGTCGCAAAAGTTCGACGAAGCAGGCACCAATTCATTGATGGTAATCTGTGGGAACTGTTGCGTCAATTCTTGCGGGGCTGGCTGGGAACTGGACAAGCTCCTGGTGACTCATACTCTTCACATTGTACTCGTCAACATGCAGTTACTACCTGGTAGAAATTTTGAGGTAATTTGCTCAAGAGACGAAGGAGAACCGCGCTCGGGACGGCAGGCGGCAGCAGGCACGGACGCCCTTCGGATCATGGGGATCAAATGAGCAGGCGCGACTGGACAAAGTTTCGCAATGGACGAGGTGCAAGATCATATGCAACGCACTGTAGCTGTCGCATGACAGAGATGCAGAACAAGGGATGCCGCCTCACTAGCACAATAAGGTTGCGGTTATAAAGCTGGTTACGCGTGCCTGGGTCATAGCCGCGTCGCGATCTCGTCATGGTCAGTCCTGGAACCGAACCTCCATCTCCCGATTCGTATTCTCGTCCTCCGGTCCCGAAGTTCAAGTACATAGATAATCCCCGACAATACAAACGCGACTATGCGTATCGTCAGAGCCCTTTCGAGGGCGACTTTTGTGTCATGTCCGTAGACCATGTCGCCTCCGTCGCAGACCTCGGCCTTGAAGCGATGGAGGCGGCGAAGCGTATCCCCTCGGGACAATATGTTGCGTATGTTGGAATGGTGAGTTTCCAGATCACATACCTGTAGTCCTTGCGCTTACGATGGCTCTAGAGCATCAGTCTGCCATTCAACAATAATCCCACCAACCCGTTCAATCTCGCGCCCATCTGCCAGGGTGTGCCTCGACAGGCGGCGTATTGCGATAATACGCCCGCTTGCATTCCCATTCATCCTAGCTCGGAGGTTCATGGAGGACGCGAACCGCTCAAGCCCGTGGCGCCCTTTCCTTGGCCGGACTGCTATATCTCCACCTTTGACGCAGACAGCTGTCGGGTGACGAACGTTAAACGCGAATATCCTCCCGTGCTATGCGTCTTGGATGACATGGCGAACGCAGAAGCAGATACGTGCATCTACGAGGACAGGGAGGAATGGTTGGCTTTCCAGACCCGTCGCAATCGGGGCAACCCGGATGCGCTGGCGCGTATGCCGTTGAAACCACGCCCTACGCCTGTTGAAGGGCCCTCGGCCGATCCGTTATCTTTCCTACCTCCTCTCCAAGTAGATCGCCCAGGTTCGCGTACCGCTCCGACGCCTTCGGATCTGACGGGAGGCGATTCCGTGCGTTCGGCAATCCCGGTGCATACTGCCGTCCCGTCGTCCTTGTTCTCCACCGGAAGCCCAAGCATGCCTGTCGTCAATATTTGGTACGACCTGACCATGGTGACCGAAGTCCCGGACCCCGCTGAGTTTACAGCAGAATGTGAGATGCTCCGAAAGTATGTTCACCTTGCCTGATTCAGTCTCCGTTTCCTGATGTGCTTCAGGTTGAGGGCATACTACCATCCGAAGAGAGTTGCCCTGCGTGCCAAAGCCGAAGCCCAGATGAAACAACCCGCGTCAACTGGGGTGGGACGCGAGACTATACCCCCCTCGTTGCCAACTGTTACTGCATCAACCCCTGGCGCAGATGCTCTGGCGTCACGTTCTCTTCCGACCAATGTCACCCCCATCAGACCGCATCTCAGCGCGACCGGCACAGAGGAGGTACACACAGCCGCACGGCCTCTCGAATCGACAACCCAAGAAGCCGTGTCCTTGTCCCTACCCTCGGCCGGTCGAGTAGATGCCACAGCGCGGCAGACCGGCTCTCAATCTTCTCTGGTTCGTCACATCTCCACACTCGCTGAAACTACCCAGACTCACAAGTTTTCGAAGGTGGCATTACGCAAGAGCATGTATCGTTCGGAGTCTCGATCTTCGTTGCGATCGTCGAAAGCTGCCACAAGCCTATCTGCCTCGCCTACCAAAAAAGAGTTCACCCACCATCCACATCCATATGCGGTGGAGCGATCTACTCGCAGCGCTTCCAGTCTTTCGTTTGCAGTGCCACGACTGCGCAACGACTCGCTCAAGAGCTTGAAGAAGAGTCGATCGAGCTCGTCTTTGAAGATCCCGCGTCGTGCCGCGGCCTTGCCGGCCTTGCCTTTTTCTCGTTCATTGCGATAGTGATTCTACCTATGTTTTTCGTTTCGCGCGTATCTGTCCATGTCACCTTGGAGCTCTGCGTACCATGTTCGTCTTCTCGACGCCAGGTTGTTACCTGTGCGAACCGAAATGATTGAGGAAACACGAGGAATAGCACTCCAACCCGCGGCGCGGATACCTACAAATAGCCGAGTTATACTATACGCAATGATAGACGTCAAGCTAGCTTCATGAGTAAGTGGCCACAGACGGAACAACTTACAAGACGGTATCACATAGAAAAGACCTGCCGGGAAATGCCGTGAACCCACGTCCCCCCGGGCCCCGAAGCATGTTGCGCTCTGGTTTAGCACCTCCGCCTGCCCGTCCTCGCACACCAATTCCCAATCTCAAGTACCTTGATGATCCTGCCAGTGCTCCTATATCCTATGCTTACCGCTATATGCCGCTCACGGGAGACTCCTGCGTCGTACGCATTGACCATGTCGCCTCGGTTACGAACCTCTGGACGCGATGAAGGCGGCAAGTCGTCGGGGCGTCATGTGTGATATATCTCTGGTGCGACTGCCCCGCTCTGAGCTATTGCCTATCTAAGAGGCTTATATTTAGAACGACGCCATCTACCACGAACAGAACGCGAGGAATCTTGAGAATTCTCGCTCGATCACCCTCGTCTGTCCCGCCGTCCCTTCGACCTCGAGCTATTGCCACGATACTCCAGCATGCATCCCTATTCATTCTCACCCCGAATGTCTTGGAGAGCACCAGCTCAGTGAATCATGCGCTGCTCTTTTGGCTGGACAGCTACCTCTTCGCCTTCACCACGAAGAGGTTCCGCATCACGACTGCTGAGTGCGACTAGAACCTTGCCTCCACGGTTCCTAACACACCGTATGACCCGCAACTTGCATCGTCACCGCAAACAAACGCTGCGCTTTGCACCCTTATGGCCCCTGCGTTCTTCGGTCAAGAGCACTCTGAGTGCCCCGTGGTCAAACTCAGCATGCAGGAATTTGATAGGCCTGACAAGTACGTTGCATCTCTCCTTCTTCGGACTGGGACTGATCTCGTTGTGCTTCAGGTTGAGGTGGTATTTTGAGGACCGAAGAGATACCAGCGACGATGAGGTGCTCGAAAAGTACGTCACCCAAACGAAACCTGGGAGGCCACGCTGACCCGGAGCTCCCTCTAGCCTCTAGGCCCAACGCATGCTACCCTATTGACAAACGCCGTGTGATCGGCTAATGAAGCACGTCAAAGGGCGGGAAGGGGGCGAAGTCATTGCTTGTACGGAGACGTCGAGCTGCGGGTGCTCTGCATGCGAATCACGCGCGCGCGGTAAGTCGCATTGGAAGACATCTTGAAAGATCCCTCATTCACGTCGACGACTGGCCTCCCTCTCTTTGTAACTATGCTGCCTGCTTCGTGTGCATGGCAATAGCAATCTGCATAACATGCGTCGTGAATGACCACTTCGGTCGTTACTCGACGTTTCAGCATTCGGCCCGAGGCACTGCTGCATCACCGCATGGATCGTACCCCAAGTTACAGCAGGCGGCCCGGGCAATGTACCACCGAAAAGTCCCCGACTTCTACCGCCAATGCTACAGGAGTCTAGGCTACGCTGTGGCGCTCCACATCTTCAGGGGATGCCACAGCAGCAAGCTCCATCCCCGACGACTTCGTGCCCGACGTTCTCCAGCGGTCGGCTTGGAGACCTTGTGCCTGGCGGCCTTACTGATCGCGCTTGCCGCGTTCGTGCCCTGCAAACCACGATGTATCCGTGCGATGTTGAACTGAGGAGAGAGTTTGACATGTTGCGGGCGGCGTCACGGACGTACGCACCCTAAAGCCCGCCCTAAGACCGTTGTGAGCGCAATCGACATGTCTTCCGCAAACCAGTCTGTGCATACATATACTACCTTCGGCCAGTGCGGCCCCACGCTTCATACCTGTACGTGATCCGTGCGGCTTGGCGTGCAGTACTCTACTGCGAATGACCCTGCTTTGTCCCAACGAGGGTCATAACTGTACTGCGCCTTCGAACCACCCGGTACCCCCCGTTTTTTCTGCGTAGGCCTCAAGCGTACCTTCTTGGGCACCGTTCTANAACGGTGTCCGATTTTGCGACGAAGTGACCACATCAAACGTGCTTCCCACGTGGCTTGTCCTCCTCTTGCGAGCTGTCTACTAAACCCTGAGCATCCCTTTTTTGGCATGAGCTGGTGTCAATGCTAGTTGTCTCTCTGTCAGAAAGATATGGACTATTTCCAGCCCTTGGTTGAGGCAGTACAACGCGTTCAAGCCAAGGTCAATCCGACGAGCTGATGCGCGTTGACATTGTTCCCACGGCCGCTCAAAAGCCACTCTTTCCCTTCTTCCTGTACATATACAGCATTGTTCGCTCTATAAGCTATCGCAGTCATTGAGTAGTGCTAATTGACATCACGTCGATTTTTCTCGGAGTGAAACGGAAAGGGGCGAGAGCTATAGGAGCAGATTGTCAACACGGGGTGCAATGGCAAAGCAGGGTCATTCGCAGTATTGAAATCATCCGTGACAGGGATGTGCCTCCGCGTATGCGTCGACGAACAAGATGACATCACACGCGCACACACGCGCACGCGCCCCACAGCTGCTCCCGCTTCCATTGGCGCTCCAATCTTCGAGACCTCGCCGCGCCGGGCCGCGCTGACGTCGTGCGCGGAAGGCGGCGGTATAAGAAGTACGGTTGACTTGTTCGAGAGGTCTCACCAATTCACGTCTGCTCATACTCCTTTCAACCACCACACACAACACTTCATACCAAACTTCACACGACCTAATCACTTCATCATGGTGCGTGCTACCTGTAAGCACCTAGGGAATGCGAGCGCTGACGCTCTGTATAGGGTTCCATCATCTCTGCTATCGGCGGTGCCATCAACTCCATCATCTCTGCCATCGCAGGCGTTATCGAGACCGTCGTCGGCGCCATCGTCTCTGTACGCATCCGTTCCTCCTTTCTTTCCCCGTGCGCGCACTGACACCCTGTACAGGTCCTCCTAGCCATCTGGGACTTCTTCCTTTGCATCATCTGCTGCCGCTGCGGCTCACGGGGAGGCGCGCGCGCAGGCGGACGAAGGTCAAGGAGGCGAGGCGGCGCGGCGACGTATTGAGCGCCCACAAGCTCGTACGCGTAGGGTCTGATGCCTCGACATACATGTGAGGCTGAAGGCGAACGGTTGTTGACGATACCCGCACGACTCTTACCATGACTACTCCTGAATTGATGTATATTACTGCTCGGCCTTGAAGCCAATTGTATTCTTAATCGTGTATCCATCCCAATTTCGCTTACATCGCAATCATCCGTGTGGAATACGCCTATAACGACTGGAGTTGATGAGGCCCTCGTCAAGGCACTGACATTTATTGGGCATTTAGTCGGAAAGAAACCGCGTAGTGGCGATGATGCTTTTCGCGACGCCCTCTCTGCCTGGAGTACCTCATGCAGTGTTTCGTGGACCACCCGCACAGGGTTCCACGTCTATGTACTTGCCCCACCAAGTCGTACAACCTCTCACAACAAGTTGCGCTCCGAACAACGGTCCTGCGTTTTCCGTATCGAGGGCAATGCTCTCTTAGCGTCCATACTAGATTCAGTTGGGGAAAGAGAAGTTTCTGAACATGTGGTATAAGGTATAGCGAATACAATGAGCATTTAGTATTGGCGGTTGAGACGATGCGGGTGGGGGTGCGTTCCAACCTCTTACGGCGACCGCCGGCCTTCACGTGTATTCTGCACGGCGAATCGAGTAAGGTGGGAAGCGTGTACAGCAAGAAGCTGCGTGGGGAGGATAGCCAAGGCGGATCGATATGGAAGTGGCGAGGACCGATGCGGAGGGTAGTGATATAGAGTTGACGGAGAACGAAGATACAGCACAAGGGGACGGGCGCTATCGCGGCGCGGCCCGAGTGCCTTCGCGCGAACACCAGATTACTATCTTCTTGATCGCTTCGGTGAGGTCGAGTGTGCTGAAGGGTGCTCCTGCCGGCGGGACGGTTATGCCAAGTACCTGCAGGAAACAACGCGTGAGTCAGACATACTGATACATGAGGAAGGCGAAAGAACGCGCGAAGGCGTCAAGAGGTCCAAAGAAGCGAAGCCGAACGCACCTTCGTGAGCTTGATCGTAGTGGGCCCGGGAATACCAATTGTATTCGAGCTTGGCGGGGGTGCATTAGCGCCGATGAGTGCGGCAGGACCCGCGGTTCTCCTAGCCTCGGCCAGCGAGCAGTAGTACGCGTAGTCCAGCACGTAGTGTCCAGAGTCCATGCTCTTGTAGACATCGCCGATCGGACCTGAGCGCTTAAGATCAAAGCATAACCTGTCGACATCGACGCCCGTCTCAAACTCGTTCATCTCGTCTCCATATGCCTTGCCGCCGAACCCGCGCACCGGCTCGCGCGGAGCTTCGACTGGCGCCTCGGCATCTCCCGCCTCGCCTGGCGCGCCTTGATGTGATGCTGGCACGACGACGCCTGGCGGGACGTCGTGTGCGCTGGGTTGTGTCGCGTGCGCGGCGGCATCTTCGGCACCCTCCTCTTCGCCCTCGCCCTCCTCGCCATTTCCCTCCGCACCATTTCCGTTGGCCTTGCTTTCGCCCTCGCCGGTACCGCCATCAACCTTATTGGCCTGCTTCTTCTTCTTAGGCGCAGGCGGGGCGATCGGTGCGCGTTCTCCCGATGCGTCCTTCAATCGATATCCGACGCGATGTGCGAGCTTCTCGACGCGCAACCCACCGCGGCCCGCCAGACCGACATGGAGCACGAGATCATATCCATCCTCGGGAGGCGGCGCTAAAGGCCTGCCAGCACCAGGTACAGCCCGTCGAGGTAATGACGCAGCGTCATCGGCCGCGTTCTCGGATTCATCCCACCAACTCGTCGAGTGCGGCGGGACGATGGGCGGACGGGCGTGCAAGCCCGGCACGTGCGCCTCTACGGCGGTGTACGTCACAGGAAGAAGGATCGTCGACAGGTGGATATGCGTAGGCGGCGGGCGACGTTCTTCGGTTCCCGTGCCGTTAGGCGCTGGCGTGGTGCTTCCCTGTCCGGGAGGAGGCGGGACATATTCGGGCTGGGGAGGCGGAGGCGGCGGAGCGGGATTTGCCGGCGGCGGCGAGCCTTCTGTTGGCAGCGGACTGGGCGAATCAACGTCCATCAGTTCTTGTGGCGGTGCCGGAGGAGGCGCGGGAGGTGCGGCGGCAGGCAGAGCTTCGTCGACGGTCAATATAGTGTTGTGCAGCGGCAAGACCGTCAGCCAGCTGTGATTATCTTTGCCGGTCCGTAGAGGTCCGTGGCCGGTGAGCAGGACGCGGTAGCAGTCGTCTGGCAGAGCGGCGTCGGCCGCCACTGCGCATGCCGTGTAGCCCGCGATCGACATCGAGGAGGACCTTAGGCTTTAGATGGATGGAGGACGTTTGCAGAAAGCACTTGTCTTCGCGAAGTCTATACCGACTCCGAACATACGGATCCCACGCCTTCGGACATCAGATATCTGGCACGTTCCTGGCCGTGCCTCTTCCTTGCCTCTTACCGCCATGTTCCTTGCGTAAAGAACGCGTAAATGTTCATTCTACGTGCCCCATCTCATAAACTATACAACATCAGTCTACGGTACTGTACAGTTGGATCCCGAGAGTGTACTCCAGGCTCCGGATGATCAAAAGTCAGATCGCCACCGGCCCCATCTCGCTGCCGGCCACGATGGTTGCGCTTGTAGACGATGGCGTGCGCGACCTGCCCTGCGCGAAGCCCGTGCCATGCACTATCGACATGTTCTTGTCATCATCTGGCTCAAGCTCTTCTTCCTTCGCAGCCACATCCACGCTCCTGAGCTCGAACGCAGGACCGAAGCTAACATCGACCCATTTGAGACCGGGATTCTTCGTACCCGCCCCGCAATCCTCGCGTAGAGGGTCATCCGTTGAGCGTTGCGAGGGTGTCTTGAGACGCGTGGTTCTCACAGGTACGGTCAGTTGTGGCAGGCCGTCCGAGTGAATGCTATCCTGCAGGATGGAGCGTCGCTTGCTCAGGAGTACGACCACCAAAGTCGGGTACATGGCCTGCAAGCTGATTCAACATCCTGCGACTGTGACGGCGTGCATTTACGAACTTACCATGAGAGGCAGCATACACTCAATGAGCATCTTGGCCGCCAGTTCGTCTGCTTGCGTATACAACTTGAATTGCAGAAGACTGATGAGAGCATAGCAAAGCTAGAACAATCAACACATGAGTTATGGTGGTGCTCGCGCTCATGCGTCATGTCATGCGTACGAAGATGGCCAAGTACGCGACGCCCGTTTCATCTATGACCACAAGCATCGCGATGCTTTGTCGGACGTTGTGTGCGTGCATAAGCTCCCGCATGTCCTTCCAATGGGTCCTATAAAAATGTGCGCTTGATCAGCATAAGGTTCCTGCAGGGAAAGCTCATACACGCCATGTCTTGTACGCGATCAAAAGCGTGGAGATGAGTTGGGCAATGGCGGCAATAGACAGTCCGGCAGCCTGGAGTGAATATGTCCACCAACCGTTCAAGGATGGGCTATCGATCTTGATGATGGCGAGCGTCGCGGACCATATACCTGAAATGAGTTCACCAACACTATCCCGTCATAGGGAAAGCACGTCTATGTCTACCTATCTCGAGTATAGCGGTGCTCACTGTCAGTACGTACAGCCATCGCGGTCTCCTCAGGATCACATACGCCCGCCATAGCGAGATCGCATCTCCGATGATCATCTAGGAACGTATCGGTGGATCTGAGCAATCATTCAGATGGTACGTGCTCACTATGATTGGCCACGCGCAAAGCTGTGCGAATTCAAGGCGAAATAGTACTGTGGCGATATCACGGGCCTTCTGCAGTTCTGCGTCGGTGATGGTGTTGTTCAGGTCCAGGAACGAGATGTAGGCCGTCGCCCATAGCATATAGATGTTTGCAGACCAGTATAGGGTGAAAAGTGAGAACATGACCAAGGTGGCCCAGACCATGAAGGTTGAGAGAGGCGTATGTTCGCGCGCGATCCTGCGTCAATATGCTTAGACCCTTTGCGCACCATACACGAGATGATCAAACTCGTGCTCACCATCGCTGATGTATGAAGTACGAGGTCAGCGCACAGTACAGCGCTATTTGTCGTATGATCGATAAGTAGCGTGTATCCTCCAGAACACTATGTCAACGTACCATACAGAAAGGTTTGGGCCATTATCGGGAAAGCGAGGTCGAGAGTCACGACGAGAACCACCTCGCCTGACATGTTGCCCAAAGATCAACAGAAAGTGGACGTTGTATGCGTTTCAGCTCGAGGAGACCTCTATATACTCCTGCAATGCGGAACGGTAGACGCGCTGTGGCTGATACCACGGATCGAAGACTCCACTTGGGTAACCTCTTGCTATAGCACGTATCAACGTTCGCACGCGTAGATAGGACATCAGGCTGCGCGAGGACCGCAATAGGCCAGAAAGAGGAGGCATCACCACTTGACTAGGTATGTCAGGGGCTCAAGAGAACATGTATAGTCGAATGCTATGTCTGTGCCCCACTACATCTTTATACGCTCGGATCCGGAGTGGACACGCCATGTACAGACCGTCGTGATGTTCTAGTCCCGCAGAACTTGCCATGTACTCCCCTGGTTTTCGCTCTGCCAGGAGCTCTTGTGGCTTGAGATCCATTGTACAGGGTAAATGAACAGCGCTCGCCGTCGTTCCCCTCGGCGCCGCCGAGACTGACTGACTGCATCGGACGTCCAGCGCGACTCCGGTCGCAAGCGTAGGTCACACTGCGAGGCCCGAGGTAGCACGCCGTAAGATGTTATCCTGCACATATCTAGATAATGCATATGTCTGATGCATGCCGACGACGGGTCAGGTCGCTTTCCTTCCCAGGTGGTGGTCTGAATGCTAGTCATGCCGAGCGCGAGCGCGCCGCGCGCCGAGAAAGCATGGTCCGGCCCGGATCCCCGAGTTGACCCAGTCAAGACTCAAACCTAGCCGCGCTTGCCTCAGGACCACGATGATGTCGGTCGTCTACGACGTGTCACCAGCACAATTCCGGTTTGCATAGCCGCCGCCATGTCCATCTTACTTGTCACTTTATCGTCGGGACGCAATGTCTATAGAGCGCATCATGAGAGGTTGCAAGCCCGCCGATCCATCACAGTGCGCTCGGCTGTTTGCGCGATGACCCGCGCCGACCTCCAACACGCAGAGGACAGGACTTCGCCGAGTTGCGCGCCTATGACTGAATGCATGTGGCGTTGGCTCACTACCCGCTACATATGCCCAATTGTGGGTCAAGGGTACGCAAGCGCTCTCACAGTTGATTGACATTTGTCCTTGGGTTTGATCTTCTGCGACTAATCTAGCTTTCCTGCTGCCACCCCAACCTTAGCGTGGCTTTCAGACACGAATGACAACGTCTCTGTGCGACACTTGGACATAACACCGCCATTGGTTCGACTTCCCCACTCCAATGCGATTGAATCTCCGTGAGCGCTCACCCTTTCGTAGAACGATTCATCGGTATGCGACCAGTATAAGTCGTCACTGTTACGCGGGCTTCAGCAGTGTCCACTCTCGCACCACTTGCTTTCCAGAATCTATAGTGCTACGAGGCTCCTAAACTGATATGGCGCCTTACTCTTCAGATAGATCACAACTTGTGCATTCATCGCACATGGCTGACCTGAGGGTCGTCTCGAGCCAACACACCTTTCCGCTGCTCTTGGAGACCGCCTTACTAGGTAGGCCAGCCGTTCCTTGTGTCGTATTATGTCGCCGTAGAGGGAACTGACAATGTTTGGCGCGCGAAGCTGTATTCACCGTGCAGACTGTCTACTTTGTCTGTCATCGTTGGTACGTATCTCGAAGCTTCTTGGCTGTATCGCAGCCTTGGTGACGTATACATCCCAGCTTGTCGTCAGACACGAATCGAGATCAACCGTCTCATCGCCATACAACCCAACATAGGCTACGGGTCGACTCTCTGGTCGGTCTTGCCCTTTGTTTGTACCTTCTTCTGCTTGCATACTGGGCCATCGACGTCGCGATTCTACACCAGGAGCTCTCCATCCTGATTCGCAGCGAATCTTCGCCGTTGTCAGACGTCGACGTCTATGCGCCTATCGAGAGAGTTCGTACAATGGAGAAGTACATCCAGGCCACTCTGCAAGTAATGATTGTATGTCCTGAACGCCTGGCACTCTTCTATGTCGTTAACCGGTGTTGGAAGTGGATAGCTGGAGATAGTGTGGCCCTGTGGAGGGCGTATGTAGTGCTAGGGAAGGGCTATCGAATGAAGGTCCTGACAGCATCTCTTCTGTTCATCGACTTCGGTCAGTCTATGCACAACTTCCACCTTACAGCTACTGAGGGACTGGAGCTAGGTGCCTATGTCTCGCATCTTGTCTACTATACCTCGCCTAGTCAAGATCCTCCCCTTTTCATGGGTCGCTTATGGGAGAGGGTATCCGGACCTATCAGTGTGGTGCCGTATATGACGGCTGCCTCTGCCACTGCGTTCGTACAGCTCGCGACGACTTCCTTGATCTCGTATAAGGCATGGTAAGAGACTGGACTTAGGGAGGGTGTACATGAACGTCGCAAATCTGATTGGACATACATCAGGTTGGTCTGGACAAGTCGGAAAGGCCTTTTCTGCGGTCCTGGGCGGGTGTTCCGTACTCTAGCTGCAGTGATAGAGAGCGGCCTCCTGTACACTCTGCTATGGGTATGTTCCACTTTGATCGATAGAGATGGGTTGCTCATGATGGCGCGCGGGTATCGTATCAGATATGGTACATTATCGGTTCCAACGACCGAGTGACCGGACCCACAGCGGCAGCCTGGGTTGACTACTATATGCTACCCGTAACGGTGAGCCGCGCATACGCTCCGTATCTGAGCAGGTACATTGATTCACGTGGCACAGGCTATGTTTCCGACACTCGTTGTCATGGTGGTCGCGTTGCAGGACTCAGTTTTAGAGGGTGACGGGCATTCACAATGATACGAGTTACAGACCTAGTATAAATACATGAGCACTCGACCGAGACATATAGCGAATCGAAACCTCACATTGTAGACGGCCACGTAGTTAGGTCTAAGGAGAAGGGATTCCCGAGAGCCCATATATCATTGTGGTTGATGGCGGCTTTGAGCGCGTCGTACTTGGACGTCCCATCGGTGCCGCTTTGCAAGTGCAGGTTTCGGACTGACTATATGTCAGTCGCTTATTGAGACCTAGAGCGTCAAGAGACGCACCTGTGAGCGAACTGGACCGGGCGAAAGGGTTATCGCATTCGTGAAATGGTACGCGGGAGGATAATCAGCATGCGCGCGATGGGGTACGCTGTCGGTTTGCGAGAACGCGAAAGGTGCGTGCTGGCACTCCAGCATTCGACCTTACGAACCGAGATGAGAGTTTGTGTCAGTGACTGGTCGGGAGCTCACGGGCATTGCTTAGACGTACTATACTGGGTTTCCGACGGCGCCTGACTTCGTCTCTTTGCCCTCAGATCCCTACTTCCCATCGCGAGTCAGGGAAGCGGCATCGCTACAGACTTTCCATAAGCATCTGTTATGAAATGGTTGGTCGGGTGCGTACTGAACGTTCCGTAAATAGTGGTGGTCTATCGGCGAGTTGCGAGAGCGTTCCGGCGCTTGGATGAAACACAACGGGTGCCAGCCATAGGCCGTTGTCCGGCTCTCTACGCAAAGCACAGCGCGCGCGCTCTGAGCTTGCAGCCTTCCCCAACATGCCACCCGCATGCAACACCGCCCGCGCTCCGGTGGGATAGTACGCAACGTTCAGGCTGTTGTAGATGGATCAATCCGCTAGGCGAGCGCTGTCGTCTAGCAGAGCATAGTCGGTCGCCTCTACGCATGTCGTGTGGCCCGTGATTGAGATCGAGGAAAACACTGGGGTTGAAATACTTAGATGGAGTGCGTATGCAGAAGGTGTTCGTCTTCGCGAAGTCAATACCGACCCCGAATATACGGATCCCACGCCTTCGGACATCAGATATCGGGCACGTTCCTGGCCGTGCCTCTTCCTTGACTCTTACCGCCATGTTCCTCGCGTAAAGAACGCGTAAAGCGGACTCACACACGATGCTGGGTGTCTGTTCCACGAGAATGATACCGAGAGACCCGCGAAGCGCGTCTCGCGTTCGGAATAACCGAGCCACATTGTTCTCTTCGTGAACGAGATACGAGCGAGCGAGTCCGTAAGGGATCACGGAAGTGACATTGGGGAGGGTTCACCCGCAAGTCTACTGTCTCTCTGAACCGATACATCGACCAGAGATAGCGATGCTCTCAATTCCACCCGACGCGTCCCCGCGCCACTCTTTGACTCGATATCCTCTGCGTCGTTCGTCGCCGTGGCGAGGCCGGCAAACCCGACATCACGTCCAAGGATAATGTCCGATCCCTGCGACATCTCTTGCTGGCGGTCTTCTTCTCGTGGACCCCATCTGTGAGACTGCGCGCGCGGAGCGTCGTGGTCCTGACTCCCTGTACCACCAGGTGGAAGGGCGAAGCGCAAACCACTCCGGAGATCGACGGAATGGATACTGTGCTCGAGGACGGCAATCCGTGCGGCCACCAGAACAATGACTAGGGTGGGATATATGAACTGCGATGCGTGGCTCAGTCAACTCGCCAGGGGATCCGTATACCGACTACTCACGATGAGAGACTGGAGACTATATTGGAATACGACTAAGAATGCAAGGGATACCACGCCCTGATTCGGTCGGGGAAAGTAAAACAGGAGGATATATGTTATCTATGTGTAATGAGACATGTCAGCAATCCATCGAACGGCTAATTCGTGGCAGCTTACAAGAAAGATGAGATAGACAAGTCCAGACTCTACGACGACCACCAGTGTCGCAGTACTGCGCCGAATGGTTGTTATGCCCACGAACTCGCGAACATCTTTCCAATGCATCCTGAAATGGTCAATGAGCAACGGTGATCACTCGTCTGATCACCAACACTGACCAAGTTTTATAAGCTATCAGTGAGGTGGCGATCAATTCTACGAATGCCGTGACGATGAAGGGAACGATGTTAAGTACGAGTACTGTCTTGGAATCTGCCAAGAGGTGTGGCTCGTATGGGCCACCCAGGAGAAGTCTAGCCCAGAGGACGATGGTTAAGATCCAGGAAGCTAGCGCATATAGATCAGCTTCGCCCAGGTATCAACTCCTCTCCTGGAACTGTAGACTTGCCGATCTCGCCCAGAATCACACAGCCAGATAACACCAACAGCAAACGAGGCCGCCCCACGATAACATAAGCTCGCCACAAGGCAACCACGTCGCCCAACGTGAACTTCAAATGCAGTCAGATGTTTCCCCGACTTGGTGAGTTAACGAATGCGCATACCATCAGTGCTGTCGCTGGAAAACTCACGAAGTTCTCTATGTATACAAGCTTGCCAGATGTCTGTGTCACTTCGTCGGTCGCAGAGTCGGATAGAGACTGATACGCCAGATACCACAGAGAGTACGTGTCGATTATGCATAACAGGGTGAACACAAGAAACGTCGCCAGAGTTACGAACACCATGAATGCGGATGGCGGCATCGACCTTCGATCTGCCCCAGGGCCCCTAGATAGCATCAAACTGTGAGTCGTCGACAAGTGCGGTTGCGCCTATGACGATTACCATTTTTGGTACAGGATGTACGCGGTAAGACCAGTACATATTGCTATCAGAGTCGCATGATCAGCTGATGACGGTCTGAACCTAGAGCAACCTACCGTAAAAGTATGTTTGCACTGCCAGGGGAGCAGCGTGCACTTGAAGGTAGACTAGCGTGCGGAGCGAGTCATCTGGATTGTTGTCCATGTCTACAGGAGCGCGTACACTCCGCAAGGGTAGACGTCCTCGAAAATGTTGTTCCCCGCTCTTATATGTGCGTTGAAGCGGTGTAGGGTGTCCGATCTATGCAGCTTGAATTCGTACAGTGTACGTGCCATTGAGAGATCATTGCTCTGAATGAAGCATCTTTCTCACAGAGGGCAGTACGGGAGATCAGTTGTAGAACATCGGGCGGTATCACCAAGTGAAACGCTGTCCAATACGGAAGCCTCGGCCCGGTCTCGAGGAGAACGAATGCGCTGAGCGCAAAGATCATTCTGACCGCCGCCCGAAGATCATCGACGGGAGAGGCCGCATGTGGCCGTTGACAAGAGGAGCGAGTGCGGGCAACGATCCCCGTCTACAAGTCAGGCAGCGTTCGACCTCCTTGAGGTTCATGAATGTTGCTCTTCGTCGCAAACTAGTCAAACACCCTTGTTGGTCCGACGAGGATCATGGGCGGACCAAGCAGACAATCGGAAAAGTACTTGCACAGGAGTCATACTAGATCTGCCGACGGGGAGCCTGCCCGAAACACACGCTCTCAACTGCAGCGTATACCGTCATATTGAGACTTGCTGGGAAGACGAGAGCCCATCGTACCGCCTGGTTTGATTTGCGAGGGGCACAGACAACCGGCATTCCGAATCCCGGAGATGTACTCGACGGAGGCGGCACTCCCTGGTAGCGCGCTGTATGATCAGATCTGTCAATCGTCACTCGCGGCGTCGAAATTGGTATCTGCAAGAGCTGGCAACCGCCTAGGGCCAAGAAGCGATTGGTACAGCGCATCAAAGCCAGCCTGCACTATGACCGTACTGGGCGCGCCTCCTCGATAATGGATGCACGAACCAAAGAACCAACCACGTGCGCAGTGCGAAAGCCGTGGCAGCCGGCCTCGTGCACGCGCGTGGGAAATGTATTCGGCCCAAAGAATCGGAGAACGTTCCGGGAGCGACGAGCCGCGGGTGCACAGGGGGCATTCGGCGGTAAAGGCGCGGACACTAGATGTTATTGGTGCGGGTAGACTTACACAATTAATTCGCCAAAATCCATGGAAATCCCGCCGACCACACTTTATGTCCCAAAGGAGGCCGTCCTAAGAAAGTCAAGGACAAAGATCTTTCGTTCTGTATGCGTGACAATCGAAGCCACCTCGTGCTCGCAACGTTACGTGCTATCCGCGTAGAAGCCGGGCTTCAACAGCCGAGACAAAGGGCCAAGCTCAGAATCCCAGCTCCTACGCGGATAGTACGCAATGCCGTCATTGCAGCTTGGCTTTGATCGTCACACGTCCATGACAAAAGATCTTTGTCTTCAATTTTCTCGGAAGAGCCCTTTTTAGGCCAAAATCTATGGTAGGGTCAAATTCCCTATTATTTTATGATTATTTCGTTTAAATCTCGCCGCGCCGACAACACCTCGTGTCTGCGTTCCCACCGCCCAATGTCCCCTGTGGTGCTTGCTATGGGACAGCCATGGCG